TTCACTTCCGATGCCGTTGAATATCCGCCTAATTTATTGGTTTAACAATACTTATTAAAATAAACTATAAATAGTATTACAGAGTTGTCTAATGACCTGAGAGTAGACTCATTATAGCGCCGATCGATAGGCTAATTGCGAAACCAAAGACAGGAACTAATAGATATGCGATGTGATACAGACTCAGTATGCCTTCCGATTCAATGGTAGAACTGGTGGTTCGGGTAAAGTTGACCAACATATGTGCTGGACAATCCTCTATAGAAGTCTCCATAAATGGCTGTTGTTTAGGATTTACGAGCGAACCGATCAAAACCCATACCCCAAAAAATTCTCCGGCAAACAGTCCGCACAGAACTCCCTATTTGTGTACAATACAAATCAGTCGTGAATTACTGCTATTTTTATCAATAAATAAGTCTTTTTGTGTCTATTTTAAATGGCAGTATATATTTTTTATTAAATTAAATATTCAAATAATTATTTTTAGATTATAATGAATTCCTATAAATTGTCAATAAGAAAGTATTCAAAACCATTACAATCAATGATTTTCTAATTTTTATAATTTTCAGGGACAAAGTTTTAAATTTTTAAGATCCACAAGGCTATTGAATAGAGACTTCCTTACATTGAAATGAGTGCAGTATATTTATTTGTAAGATTTTATTTTAATAAATATTTTCTTCAAATCTATCATTAAATTAATTTATGCAGTATTAGTGTATAAACCCTTAAGGAAATGTGTATAATTGTGGTTTTTACCAATTAAATAAAATTCCTATGAAATTAATTTCATTCATATTTTGTAACTATTGTAATTAAGAATAAGTACTGTAAATAAATTATTCATCACTATGACTATAATTAATATAGAAATAATGATTGAGTATATTATTAGTGCAATAATTTCTTCTTCAAATGAAATTCATATGAAAAGTGAGAAGGAATGCAATTAAATGTATAAATAATAATAGACTCACAAAAGTGTTGGCAAATGGAAAGAGAACTCCGAGTAGAAAGAGTCCAAACATAGGGCCCACTAATGCTCCGGCTATTGATATTGCGGCCTATAATGCAATAAATAAATAATTTATGAGAATACCATTCCGTTGTCTTTTTATTTTATAAATTGAACAAAAATTCATAAAATATCGTAAAATATTGCTTAATAAGAAATTTAATTAAATTAGATAAAGACCTGTAAGACTGAGTCAAGTCGACTGACAACAAATGCCATTCCGATGGCAATCACACCGTAACAAAAGGCTAGAGTTCTGCTTATTCTGCGGGCATTAGTTTCCGACAGCTTCTGAACCCAAACATAGCGACTGAGGAAGTCGTCAAAAGTGACCGCAGATAAGGCATTGAAACCCGAAGACAATGTACTGAGGGATGCACTGAACACACAGGCGACGAATAGACCCGGCATTCCCGGCATTACACTCAACTGATCCATCACAAAGTATGGCATCAACTATAGTGCCATCAGATACAACATCATTTGATTAGTACAATAACAATAACCACTTGTATTCAATAATTTGTGTCTAAAAACCTGATCCGTCTTTTGAATGAGTCGTAAAGCCAAGGGATCGCAACCACTATAGTAAGCGAATATGGATACACCACATAAGCAGGCACAACTGATTAATAGCATCATTCCAATCAGATTCACGTACAAGGACCTTTTCATTCAAATTATCATTCATTTTAAAATCGAAAATCTTTTCAAAATTAATATAATATTAACAAACAATTTAGCCTTTGCTTCTGAGACCACATTGCAATATCTCTGAACCTCTGTCTGACTCGTCGCGTAATTTCCTAAAGAAAATTTTTGTTTCATCTCTTAGAACATGGGTTTAATGGTAGACATACCCGACCACATGATTCCCATTCCAAACACACAGTTCCATAGGGTTGATGTGGAGTAGGGATCTATTTGAACGCTGTCCCAAACATATCATTTTAAACATCATTTTTAAAATTTTGGTCACTTAAGGACTCACTTAAAGAACTGAATTCTTCCCTTTTCGTGAGCTATTCTGAACGCCTCGTCCACTCCTCCCACTAAATAAAATGCCTTTTGTTTGCATCCAATATATAAATACAATATATTTTATAAACATTTGTAGCAAAAAATATATATAATTTTTTAAAAGTATGTTGAAATAAAATTTTGTGTAATTTTACAACTAATTTCTCATGAAATATAAACTTTCATTTTTAGTTTTACCAGTAAATGTCAAAATAATTGTGCCAAAAATAAAGATTTTCTACTATTATTCAAGTGTTTTCTATCGATACTATAATTTTAACTTAAGATTTCCTTATAATTGACTTCTGTTTATAATAAAATACTATCAGAATTAAGTGACATCTTATCAAATAATGTAATTAATGTTTGGCTAAAATCCATAAAATTGATTGAAATGACAAGTTCTATGCACAGAGTAGTACTGTATTGTATTCTTCCTAAATTAGAAATTTTTGTTTTATTGATTGACTGCTCACATGTGTATAACTTAATATGCCTGATAATATCATAATATCATATGTGTTAGAATATATTCTCTCATAAAACAGACTCTGACCTCAATTCAGATAAACAAACAAAACTTGAACTACAATTCAATTATACTGCTAATAGACATATAAATTGAATGAATGACTGGAAAAGTGATTGAATGCACATTTACCCGAACCATTACCACCACGAGTCCGGCAAACATGAGGAACACCTGAACCAAATCAGTCCAAACAACTGCACGAATTCCTCCCTTGAAGCGGAAAGTTATATAATTTAGAAAACATATTCAATTGGTATTGAAAGCAAACTTGTTATCTGAAAACAAAAGTCAACTAAAGGTATGACGAGACCTTCAATTCTGTGCGAAAGTCAATTACATTGAATTATAGCGGAAATTATTTTAGTAAAAGTCCATTAGGTTTCTTAAATAAGACTCAATTATTGAGCAATAAATCATAAATTACAGTTAATTTATTTCTAAATAATTGAGTGATAATTGTTTCAGAAAAATTAACATGGTTATATTTTTATATTGTAAATTCTTACTATTGATGTATAGAGTGTGCAAATGCTTCCGATTATTAGTACAGATGTTGAGACACTTATTGGAGTGACTAAATAAAAATGTTAAAAATTTGCAATTAATACTTCATAAATATAATTCTGTTGTACTGTATGACAATACTTTAAAGTTTAAACAGGATATTTTCAAAAGTAAATCTATGAGCCCATGTCAGTGCTCTTAAGCTTTGTAGTGAAGTTGTCTTTCAAATCTGGTTTTGGTTTTGTGTTTTATTTTTAAAACATTATTCATATAGTGTTCAGTTTGTTCATACAGTAATTGCATCACTAATCTCATCTCATAATCTCTTATTTAAAAATAAACTCTACTTTATATTGGATTCGTGACTAAAATTGAGTCAAATATAATGCAATGCACCAGCATTATTTCATTGTAGTTCATGCGGTGTCTCAATGTTAATGTCAATATACCTGATCCGAGAGCAAGTGATGGTCCATATAAGACGACTCCCATATAAGGAATGGTACACAAGAGGAATGAGAACGAAACGGCTAACCGAACCTTTTGACTGCCAAACCTTACTTCCAAATACTATAAACCAATCATTCAATCATATTATATAATAGATGGAAATGACAATTTAAATTACAAAAATTCATAACAATTTCTATATTCTATAAGAAAACTGAGAAATATAGTCTTACAGAATGAAACAATTGTGAACACTTGACTTGGAATATTATCTGGCCTTCCTTATAAAGACGCCGATAATACCTCCGGTACCGTGGACTATACTACTGACGGGAAGTCACCATAGGTACTCTGTCACATTCAGTATTTGTGTTCATTTATATAACATCTGTAAATCAAATAAATACCAGAACTGTGTGCCCCTATAGAACATTTCAGCAGGGTAACCCAATATAGTGACTGAGCTCTGAAAGCTGGCCAATAGCGACATCGCCACCGGAAACATACTCAACGACTTGTTTGCCGTCAAAAACTCTTTGTTTGACACATTTTTGCGATCCTATGGAAGGGTAACAACACATCCAATAGATTAGTGTTTGCTTTCAATATTATTTTTTGTGTAATTTCAAAATTATTTAATAAATGACCTAGAACATTCATTCTATATTTAAATTGGAAAGAACAAATTCAAAAAGTGGTTTATTCATCATTTTTCTACGATATTGATATAACTGTAAAAAATTATCTAATTGTTAAAACATTGTCTATAGTTATGTTAAATGCATTTATGTTTTATATTTAACAGTTAATTATTACAAAATGTGGATTACAAAACAAAATAAAATATTAAATGATTTTTGCAGCTTTATATAAATATTGTATCCTGTATTATAATACTGTATTATACTTTTATATGATATTTTAGTTTAGCTTTAGTTTCAAGTTAAACTAATAATATAATACTCTCAAATTAAACTAAAATTATATAATTATATAAAATTCATTAAAATTATTATTAATAGAATATTCTAAAGCCATGGATAAGTAGCATAATTTTTATGTTGTTTATATTATAAATTAATTGTTAAATTTTTATTTCAAATACTTTTTCATATGATCAATTATATACTGTTAAGAAAATAAAATGACATGTATTTCAATGTTTGTTATTTTTATTATAGAAAACCTAAAACAGACAAAATAATACTGTAAACTCATTTGTAAATACAGCCAATCTGATTTGGGTCAATCTATATATTCGTGTCAATACTA